ACTCATCGGAAAGGTTCCGTCCCCTCTCTCTCTCTCTCTCTCTCTCTCTCTCAATTCAAAGATTCTTAGAAACAAAAATGGTGGTCAGCCCTCCCTCCTTGTCATATCTCTCTCTCTCTTCATGTCGTCAATGAGCTGCTTCGGCGGAGCGGCCGCCGCTGTCACCTGCATCACCGAGAGGCCACAACACAAAATGGTGGTCAGCCCCTCGAAGGAAAACCCTCTCCCCTCGTCCAGATCCACCACTCTCTCCTCTAATCCCCCTCGGCTATGCAACACCCCAGCGGGCAATGACGAGCAAATCGAATTGTGGAAACAACATTCTGAAAGGAGTAGGGAAAAAAAAACTGCAAATGCCAAATTGAGATCGTAATTTGGAACGGATGGCAACGAGAAGAAGGAGAGATGGATGGAGAGAGAGGGAGGAAGGAGGGAGAAAGGAGGAGGGAGAAGGGAGGAGAGAGAGACGAACGAAGAAGAAGGGAGGAAGTAGGAGGGAGAAAGAAAGGGAGGAGTAAAGAGGGAGTAGCGAGTCGACATGTGGAGGGAGAAAAAGAGGACGAAAGAGGCGGGAGAAGTGAGGTGCTGCGTGGAGGAGGGAGAAAGGGAGGAAGGAGGAGGCAGAAAGGAGGGAGGAAGGAGAGAGGTAGAGATAGATGACGAAAGAGGGGAGAGGAGGAGGGAGGGAGGAGGAGGGAGTGATGGACGAGGAAGAAGGGAGAGCGGAGGAGGGAGAAAAGGAGGAAGCGGGAGGGAGAAAAGGAGGAAAGAGGGGGCAGCAAGTCGAGTCGGTTGACGCGTGCACGATGGGATGGAGGTGTCGCGCGGAGTGAAAGGCCCTGTCGCCAAAGTAACAAGGGCCAAAAACAAAAAAAAAGGTGATTGGATGGTGAAGTGTTCGAAGGACAGATGGATGGAGAGAGAGGGAGGAAGGAGGAGGGACAGATGGATGAAGAAGAAGGGAGAACGGAGGAGGGAGAAAGGGAGGAGATGGACGAAGAAGAAGGGAGGAAGGAGGAGGGAGAAAGGGAGGAGGAAAAAGGAGGGAGAAGCGAGGTGCTGCGTGGAGGAGGGAGAAAGTGAGGAAGGAGAGAGGTACAGATAGAGGACGAAAGAGGGGAGAGGAGGAGGGAGGGAGGAGGAGGGAGAGATGGATGAGGAAGAAGGGAGAGAGGAGGAGGGAGAAAGGGAGTAAGGAGGAGGGAGAAAGGAAGGAGGAAAGAGCGGGCAGCGAGTCGAGTCAGTCGACGCGTGGAGGATGGGAGGGGTGGAGGTGCCGCGCGGAGTGAAAGGCCCTGTCGCTAACGTAACAAGGGCAAAAAAAAAAAAAAAAAGGTAATTGGATGGTGAAGTGTTCGAAGGACAGAGACAGGAGGAGAAGGGAAGAGC